CTTTAAAAAATTAACTCGTAAAAACGCAATCATTTAAATAGCCAGCGCAAAAACTGACAGCTAAGTAGGGAGCGTATCAGCAATTTTGCGCGAAACAAATTTAAGCGCCTCATTTGCAGAGGGTGCGGGTATAATTCGCGTACAACGAATGATAATTTTCAATTATCTTTGATCGTTCGAGTGTTTCACGAGAACATAATCTCGAACGGCGACGGCTCAACATTGCGATAATCCCCGCGAATGATACTTGACCGAGTTTGACTGCATTTCTTCACCAGCATCGAGTCCGCAGCCTCCGCGTCGCGAATTTATGCAAATTATATGTAATCAATAATCAGCGTGCGAAGGGAGCCGAATTACGGGCTGTATAACGCGAGCCGGCGCATGCATTACCATAATCTTGAAGGTGGCTCTATTACGGCGCTTATTGCGAATAATCGCGTTAACTGCGCCGCTGCGTTGCTGCAGCTAGTGCTATTGCTGCTGTTACAGCGGCTCTCTGTTATCACTTCCCGACATTTCGCAGCCGCGCATAGTCGCCGTTAATCTTGCCGAGCGAGCTCTCGGGAAATTGCAAAATTGCCGTGCGTTCGATCGTCTCGATAAACGCGCGGTTATTGCGACCTTAATGAACATGAATTCCGCACGAGTCCATCCCGATAACAAAGTTAAAAAATAGCGAAATAAGAGGAAGCGACTAGTGCAGCTATAAAAATAATCGTGCATCGGCAAAAGTGAGATAAGAATAAGAGGCAGATCGAAACAGCGCGTGCACAAATAAATCGGAAATTCACCTAGCCTTTGTCCGTCCTGTTACGGATTTTCTTCGTTAATGAGAGAACAAAAATTGCTGATTTATATTCCATACGAGTTATTTGTATATCCTTTTTACCAGCTTCGCGTTACGCGTATCATTATAACTTGCTTATGCGCGTATATAATAGACACGCAAATACAAATTTAAATAATGTTGCGATATCACATCTTGTTTATTGCTACGGACAATGTGAAATTTGTTGTAACAGATAAATAAGCCAAGCTCTTGTAAACTGATATGCGCGCTACATATTCACGGAAAAATAATCAGCACTAAATATTCGTTCCATATCTCTATTTCGTAATTAACGAGATGTATGCATTGAAACGTGATATATTCTAATATTCATGGGGATATTTCAGTCTGTATTTTTAAAGTTCCATCAATTTTCTCGGACAGTTTAATATCTTTTCATCAGAAACGACACGAATAACAGAAAGGAAATACAGACGTTAAAAACTTCTAATTAATAGCTAATAATGTTGTCACAATTAACGCGACGTGTTGCGGTCTTCGTACGAGTATCTCGTTTCACGTTTAGGATTATGTAGATTTTTGACAAACAACGTATTTCATGAAAAAAATGGTGCGCGTACCGTTGCGCTAAAAAAAAAGTACGAATGTATGTTTTTTAATTTTACATATTAAAAAATCATCTGTGTGACGAAATGTCAAGTGAAATCTTAATTACGTTAAACAAACGCACGTAACATATTACGTATATGGATACTTCAATTTTCATTTTGTGAATTTCAATACAAATCGCTGTTTCTATCTTCTACGTGGTTTTTTTTTCATTAAACGCGACATCTGCGTCACGTAAAACATTTTCCCGGGGGGATCCCTTCAATTAATCAAGCCGGCTCTCTTTGTGCGCGCGGCACACGATACGCTACAATATTCATACTTCATCCGTCATTTTGAAAGTTTTCCCGGCTGGAAGCATCGCTTCCAGAGGACCAGCCCAGTCATGTTGCCAATATCGCCGTGACAGCGCAACGCGGCGTCGTTTAATTTTTACTTTGGGAAGGCGGAGCACGTGGATCCACTACGAAGAAGGATAGAAATGAATTCGTGAAATCTTCATTCCGAGGTTTCTACTCTCAAGGATTAGCGAGATGCTAATAAATTAAATCTCAAAACGGGCGAACCAACGGTCATTTATTCTACTATTATCAGATTTGTCATTTTTACTGCAAAAATGTTGCTTATGTTTTTCACAATTTCCAAAATCGAGAAATTTGGAAGCCTGTGCACATATCAATATATTTTTCTCCGTGTAGTTATGGTTACACGTAGATATAGTTATCACTATTTTTCTCATAACTTTATTATTATTAAACTAATCAGAAACTCTTCAGGGTCGCCAGCAAAAATTAAAAACATATAATTTGGTTGACCATATCTGGCAATTTTTATGATTTCGTATCGCTACGTTTCGACCATGGGTTTTGGTCCTTTTCAAGCAAGTGTAACTACAAATTTAAATTTTACAGATTGATACAGTGTTAACATTTGTGATATTAGTTTGACGGTTGTATAAATGTGTATTACCTGTGTTAATCGTGCATAGGATCACGTGTATTTAGTGGTGTTGTGAGGATGGTCATTATAATCCTAAACTAAATTCGAGGGTGTTATAGAAAGAGAGAAGCCACAAAGATATTTTTTTTTCATTATTATTATTGATTTTTGCAATTTGGAACACGACAACGTCAGCTTTTAATTGTTCCATATTTACAGATGATATGATTATAAATGAATGTGGCTTATTTATAAATGATTTTAATCTTCATACTTTTCTCCCGCTATTATCTGTAAAATTTTATAAATATAACGGCGACAAGGTCAAATCCGAATGGTGAATATGAAGTGATTCCCCTTCATGAAATTCAATCTGTGGCAAGGGTTAAGTATAGATCATGCAAGCATACGTAGACAGTCTCATCCGCGGGACTCTTGTTACGTTTTTTAGTCAAAATACTTATCACGTAAAAAAGTGTAGCGGTATTTCGAAATAACGACGTATGTTCTTACGTAAAGTGATATTTGATTATCGAAAATGTGTTTTTACAAATTGAAGCACGACGGGCTCTTTCATCATTATCATTTTTTATTTCAAATCCCTTGCCGATTCTTTTATTTATCCGTTATAAAAGAGGTACAACGGATTCAAGAGTTTAGCATCGGATATTCTGAGCTTGCTCGCAGAGTTTCTTTAAGGATGTATCTGAGCTATTTCAAAATAGTACCAAATTGATGAAACTTCGGGAAACACTTCCTTTGTTATCTGTAATATACTGAAAAAAATTTTAAGTAGATTTACTAAATCGTTAGAGAGTAATTATTATTTAAA